AATGCTTTGCTGACCTCCAGGTCGGTCCCTGCCAGCGTGGCCCCGCGCAGGTTGCAGTTTTTCAGTTTGGCATTTTTGAGGGTGGCCACGCGCAGGTTGATCCCGGTCATCTGACTGCCCTCCATGTCCACCCCCTTCAGATTGGCACCTGCAAAAATCCCAAAATTGAGGGGATTTGGGGGAAATCGACCCCAAAGGCAGCTCCAAACTGGGAGAGATCACGGCACAACTGGGAATTTGTGATTATTGGGGCACAATCAGCCCCGAGTTGTGGGGTCTCAATTCTGCAGGGAATGACCCCAAATTTGCAGGGAATGATCCCAAATTTGCAGGGAATGATCCCAATTCTGTAGGGAATGATCCCAATGATCCCAATTCTGTAGGGAACGATCCCAATGATCCCAATTCTGTAGGGAATGATCACAAATCTGTAGGGAATGATCCTAATTCTATAGGAAACCATCTCAATTCTGAAGAGAATGATCCCAATTCTGTAGGGAACGATCCCCATGATCCCAATTCTGCAGGGAACGATCCCAAATCTGTAGGGAACAATCCCAAATTTGTAGGGAACAATCCCAAATTTGTAGGGAACGAAACCAATGATCCCAAATCTGTAGGGAATGACCCCAAATTTGTAGGGAATGATCCCAAATCTGTAGGGAACAATCCCAAATCTGTAGGGAACAATCCCAAATTTGTAGGGAATGATTCCCAATGATCCCAAATCTACAAGGAATGATCCCAAATCTATAGGGAATGATCCCAATTTTGTAGGGAATGATCCCAACGATCCCAATTCTGTAAGGAATGATCCCAAATTTATAGGGAATGATCCCAAATCTGCAGGGAACCATCCCAGATCGGCAGGGAACCATCGTAATTCTTCAGGGAACAATCCCAATGATCCCAAATCTACAGGGAATGATCCCAGTGATCCCAATCCTGCAGGAAACCATCCCAAATCTGAACCCCAATCCCAATCCTGCAGGGAACCACCCCAATCCACAGGGAATGATCCCAATGATCCCAAATCTGCAGGAAATGATCCCAATTATCCCAATCCTGCAGGGAATGATCCCAAATCTGCAGGAAATGATCCCAATCCTGCAGAGAATGATCCAAATGATCCCAATCCTGCAGGGAATTATCCCAATTCTGCACCCCAATCCCAAATCTGAACCCCAATCCCAAATCTGAACCCCAATCCTACAGGGAACAATCTCAAATCTGAACCCCAATCCCAATCCTGCACCCCAATCCCAATCCTACAGGAATGATCCCACCCAGCTGAGCCCCAGGAAGGCACAGGCTCCGTTCCCATGGAATAATTAACGGGGAAAGTTCGTTACCTTCCAAATTGGCTTTGAGGCCCGAGGGGTCCTCGAAGTTGCAGCCCTTCAGGGACGCCCCCTCGGCGTTGGAGCAGAGCATCTTCACCCCCTGCAGGTTGGCACACTGGGAAACCCCAAAAATCAGCAAAAAATGGATTAAAATCAGCAAAACTTCATTAAAATCAGCAAAACTTCATTAAAATGAGCAAAACTTGGATTAAAATCAGTGAAACTTCATTAAAACGAGCAAAACTTGGATTAAAATGAGCAAAACTTCCATTAAAATTGGTGAAACTTTGTTAAAATAGCAAAACATCCTTTGAAATCAGCGAAACTTCCATTAAAATCAGCAAAATATCTTAAAATCAGCAAAACTTCTATTAAAATTCAGATTTGAAAGTGAATCCCCCAAATCCCCACCATTACTGCAGGAACAACCGCAAAAATACACACAAAAATCCTTTTTTTTTGCTCCAATCCCCGTTTTTGGGATAAAACCAGGTCAGCCCTGGCTTCCAGAGGTGCAGCATCCAAAAATCAACAAAAATTGATTTCAATGCTTTTAAAACACCCCAAAATTGCAAAAAAAAAATCAAAAAAACGCCCAAAAAACACCGAAAACCACAAAAAAATCGTGTTTTCTTTTGTCCCAGTCCCTGTTTTTTGTGCTAAATTTGGGCTCCCAGAGATGCAGCATCCAAAAATCAACCAAAAATAAATTTAAATTTAATTTTAAAAGCCAATGCTTTTAAAACACTCAGAAAATTGCCAAAAAACACAGAAAAAGTTGCCAAAAAAATGCCCAAAACCACCAAAAAATCGCGTTTTTTTGTTCTAATTCCCATTTTTTTGGGCTAAATTTGGGCTCCCATGGGTGCAGCAGGAACTCACGTCCAGCACAGAGCCCGACAGGTCGGCCCTCTCCAGGTTGGCACAGCACAGGTTGGCGTGGGCGAGGTTGCAGCGACTCAAATTGGCCATTTTGAAGTTGATGTAACGAAGATCCAAACGGGACAGGTCGGCCCCGCTGAAATTCAGACCCTGGAAAGGCAAAAAATTCCAAAATAAATGGTAAAAGGAGGGAAAAGAAGGTGTGGGTATAAAGAGTTGAAGGAAATTTGGTTCTGGGGTTAGAAAAGAGAGCAAAAATTATAAAAAGAAATGAATTAATTGGATCATGTGTTGAATAAATTAATTATGTGTTGAATAAAAGAGTTGAAATCATTGTACTTGAAGGGTTGATAAAAAATGGGGATTTTTTTAAGTAGACAGTGCCAGGATGGGGAGAATGGATTTAAAAATGGATTAAATAATGGATTTAAAAATGGATTTACCAATGGATTTAACAATGAATTGAACAATAGATTTAAAGACGGATTTAATAATGGATTTAACAATGGATTTAAAAATTGATTAAATAATGGATTTACCAATGGATTTATCAATGGATTTACCAATGGATCTAAGAATGGATTTAGCAATGGATTTAGCAATGGATTTAATAATGGATTTAAAAATGGATTTACCAATGGATTTACCAATGGAGTCAATGACAAATCAAATAAAAATTCCAT